TCCCTTTCTTGGATGCAGTTGTAAAACGTACTCCCACAGGCCTCGCCTTCGCTGTGTACCGAAAGCCAACGCACTCCGGTAGATACCTCGACTATGAGTCAGTCCACCCGGTAGCCCACAAACGCTCAGTGATTCGGTCTTTAGTTCAACGAGCGATTCGCACTTGTTCCGATGAAGGAAGCCTGCAGGAGGAGCTCCGGACCACTGAAGATGACCTGATCAGGAATGGATACCCCAAGATTTTTATTAGGAAAACAACTAAATCCGTCATGCATAACACATCGTCTACGCAAAAGCGTGCATCGATTCCTTATATTCGAAATGTAAGCGAAGCCCTAGCCCGTCTATTCAGAAAACGTGGTGTACAGATCGCGCATGTTCCAGCAAGCAAGCTTAAGGCTGAGTTGCTAAATGTGAAGGATCCTCTCCCTCGGCGACACTTTCCTGGTGTGGTCTACAAGATGCCATGCGCCGATTGCGAATCAGTGTACGTTGGCACGAGTGGAAATTACTGCACACGTCTGATGCAACACAAGAATGACGTCGCCAAGGGCCACACAGTGACAAATGCACTCGCAGAGCATGCCGAGAAGACGGGCCACGAGATAAGCTGGGACAACGCACGCATCGTGGCCACGGAGAAGAATTTTACAACCAGACTGAACCTCGAATCACTAATCATTCAGACGACAAGTAACACAATCAATAGATCATCTGGCACACTAAACCACGTGTACTCCCGGACTTTGCGTCATGCGCTCAACGTTACATAAGAACCTGTTGCTCAGCCGTCATTCCATTGTGAACAAGGGATCATCCGTACGGGTCCCGAAACGTCATTGTTTTGTTTGACATTGGTCAGTGACCTGTTTTATTCAACAATACTGAAGCGTAAGCTTGCGCGTATGGTTCTCCACAAAGGGGTGGGGTGGGGGGTGGGGGGGTCGATCTTTACTGACTGCCACCGCCTGACGTTTTCCGTTGGTCTTAACATGTGCAAAAATGAAAATAATGCGGCGACGTGTTTCTCTCAGTGTGCTCCGTTTTCTTCATTGGCTTCCTGGCGGTAAATATGGGGAGATAGCCGTTCTCTGAATACAACGCCGATGGACCTCTGCTGCCATCATAGCCAAAACCACTAGTGGTTTATAACGCAGGATAATGAACAATACTGCGAAATACTGATACGTGAGGGGTTTGCCGCTCCCCCCCCTCCCCTTGTGCGCACGCTTACGTACAGAAGGGGGGGTGGGGGTAACTGGGCTAGAGGAATGACATAAGAGGGAAACTCCATTCGGGGACACAACGAGTCCGTTGGAATCACCGTGCCATTGATTCGAAGGTTGGTGGCCAGTAGCTTGCCGTGACTGCTGGTTCGGCCCAGTTTTAATTGCCTACGCCGCCTGGATGAGTCGGTTGCCTAGAGGAGCGAACATCCGCGCCTCCTGATATCAAGTCGGCAGGGTTGACTTTAATAATAATATCTTCGGTTTCACGGTCCCGAAACCGCGACGTGATTATCAGAGACGCCGTATGGGAGATCTCCGAAAGAAACTTCGACCATGTGGTGTTGTTTATACGTGCACCGACTTCGCACTGCAGACATAGAGTTTCCCAAAATTAACTAGAGGGCACTCTGGCGCTGCGATCGTTCAGCGACCATGGGAATGATGGGTAGTACACACATTTGCCTATAGTCCTTCGTACTTGCGGGCGACGAATCGTATACTTGCGGCTTCGTTTATTGCTGGTTACGGTTTTGTTTTGAAAGAACGAACCCTTTTGAACTTAGGGACATTATTCGAAATAGTAAGCTTAAAAGAATAAGGTTGTGAAGCGCAAACGGTGAACATTTGCTAATTTATGTTTTCGTGAAAAAAAAAACAACTCCTAGCCACACGAACACACACGGAGCCAGAAGCAGGCCAGAAGTAACGAAAATTAGACAAATGTGTGTACTACCCGTCATTCTCATGCTCGCTGAAGCGCCGTGTGTTGCAGCTCCCATAGACACTAGCGCCAGAGTTCCCTCTAGTAAGTATTGTGGGAAACTCCATGACTGCAGTGTACACGAGGCCCTCTCACCGTGGCGCCTCCGTCGAAATGCGGCTGGAATCGAACCCGCGACCTTCCGTTGAGCAGCCGAGCGCGCAATAGCCACTGTTCCACCTTGGCGGACGGACATACGTTGTCTCTGCGTGGAAAAGGGTTCCTTTCCCCTGGCATTCCTACTAAAACGTTCCGTATGCGAGTCCAATAATTCCATATGTTTCCATAAAAAATACATATGTTTTCTATATATTTTCCATATATTTCCGTAAGGTTCTTACGGAAACATACGGAATTATTGGACATCGCATACGGAACGTTTCAGTAGGGATATGCGTTGCCGGAGAACGTGACTCTGTGGAGAGTATATGTTTCGACACTGATGCCTCTGCGCGGCACTTGCGCGTTAGGCAAACATCACGAAACAACTCTCCACATCTGCGAAGTGGTTTGAACGCCCGACGAGGACAGCGTCTCTGATAACCTTGCGTCCCCCCTTTTTTTCCGTTCTGTCTTGCAGTTCGTCGCTAGAGTGGTTCGTTTGAGTCGACTTTCTTTATTCTTTATTTTTTTTTGTGTCTCCCCGTTGCACGCTATCTTATCGGGAGTTGCAGCGGTTCGTCCCTTCGCTTTTCCTGTCCACAGGGAGACTCGATATGACGTATACCGATGATGTGCGACAAGCCCTTTTGTACACTACACGCTCCCCCCTTTCCTTTTCCTGCAATTTCTCTCTCGCTCTTTGATTGCACGGTTCCTGCAGTTTATCCACTTCTGAAAGGACGGGTGTTGCGACAGAACTGGCGAGAGCGTTCGTTTGTTAAACGGCGCTGTTGTGTAATGTGGGGCGCATTGAAGAGGCAACGACAGTGTGCGTTCGGCTCCGAGTGCCTTACGGCGTGAATGACGTGTATTGAGGACTGCACAACGTGACCGGAAAGGAAACTGGTGGAGAGAGAGAGATATTGCCAAAAAAAAAAAAGAGGTTTTCTTCGGACGTGTTAAACTTTTTGGTTAATTTCGTTTTTACCTGCTTCACTTCTTCTGCACAGCTTGTTATCTGTCTTTCTTTTTCGTTGCGTTTCAAGCCGCTGCACGGATCCAACTTCGGTGACTGCCGATAACCGGTGATAAGGTGACGGGGGCGGCGCAGTCAGATAGCGTGATCGAGGGTTACGATGGATTTCGCCGCGGGTGACGCGCCTGTAACCGTCCGCGTTATCGGAGACGGCCCTCCGCTTTCGAACCCGGAGCGGTTTCGTAGTTACTACGAGATCGTCGCAGCGACAGGTTTTGTTGGATTGAGCTGTTCATTGCGAATATTTTCGTATGTATCGGCATGTCTTCCGTGATAGTGACTGAGTTTGTTTGGTCCAGTGTTAAGTGGGGTTGCGTTACGGACCCCTCCTCCTCCCATCCTCCCGATCCTGGCTCTCTTATCGCCCGTGTATGGCCAATATCGGGTGTCTCTGCACGTGATTGGTCGAAACTGAGAGCGAAATGTACGTAGGAGTTTTTCTCTTTTTTGTTTCTGTGATAGTGCGCGTGCTCAGTCGGCCTCAAAACAACAAGCGCGTGTTCTGTGTTATTTTGTGGCAATACGGAGCCGTTAGTCCTATAGTTTCGTAATCGACCTTGTGTGCTTTCCCGCTGTCGGTGTAGCGGATGTCATCTCTTCTTTTTTTTCCCTCGCTGTTCTGCGTCACTTACGTAACGGTTGCCTTCACTGTGTACTCCTAAATAGGTCTTGGTCATTTGCCATAGTTTATTCCTTCTGTTTTAATTCGTTAGAAGCTATCAAGAGATCTTTCGTAAGGCCTGTCGCGGTAAATCGAACGCTTTCTGGTTTCGGGCTACAGTTCACGAGGTATACACTTGGTGTCTGATCTCTTCTTTGTTGCGTCGAGCCACGACACAGTGCTCATTTATCGACTTCGTTTTTCGATTGATTGATCGATATGTGGGGTTTACCGTCCCAAAACCGCCCTACGATTATGAGAGACTGCCGTAGTGGAGGGCTCTGGGAATTTCGACCACCTGGGGCTCTTTAACGCGCGCCCAAATCTAAGCACAAGGGCCTACTACATTGACGCCTACATCGAGAATGCAGCCGTCGCAGCCGGGATTCGATTCCGTGACCTGCGGGTCTGCAGCTGAGTAGCCACTAGACCACCGCGGATCTCGTTGTTCATTTGCGAACACGGAGACACATAAAACATGTAGTGCACACTGTGCCTTATACGCATTGAACTAAGGCTACTTGAAGGTGAACGCCTACTTTTCTTTCTCAGCGGTCTGCATTGATCCCCTGCTGGTCCCGGTAGGCTTTTGCACCCTACTTGTTTTTTTTGCGTCGCCTCTGGGATTCGAGGCTTTGACAACATTATGCTGCTTATGCGGTTTCGCTGTGCCTTCGGGATCGGCCCTTTTTTTTTTTACAAAGCGACGATGTCGTGGGACGTCATGTTGACGTGACACATGCTGGCAACTTGGGACGTCACGATAATAGTGACATCATCACGTGCTGACCTTTTTTGCGTCACTTGCGTTTACGTTGACGGTAAGAGCGTGCGTTTTGCGAGACACCTGAAGGCCTGGCCACACGTACGCGTTGCAGCGCGCGAGCGCGTGTCTTTTGAACGCGGCGTCTCGCCCCTTTGGGAAGAGAGAGGAAGCCTGGCTACGTGAAGCTACGCGCCCTCTCTCTCTTTAGGGAGAGGGCATGACGGCGCGTCGAAAAGCCACGCGCAGACGCTCCAGAACGCGTACGTGTGGTCAGACCGTTAAGCCTTATCGATGCTCGTGCAAATCGAGAGACGGGCGCTTGTCCTCTTTTCTTGGTCAGCGTTAGGGTATATTTTTCTCGTTTTCGTGCTTGCAAAAGCACGTATGCGCTGTTCCGCTGAATAAACTGTCGTTCTTTTTTTTTTTCTTTCGCTGTTGCTGGTCCTCCGGAAAGAAGTTGGATCACGTTGTGCGGTCGGACGTTGCTGGAACGGCAACGGTCGGAGGAGTGTCTCCTTGGAGGTGAGTGGGCAGCACGTTCGATTCGTTGCGCGGTAGGTAGAGGTCGGTGTGCATTCTCTTTGACGACGCTGCAGTAAGCCGGGTCGACGCCTGCTCCCGACCCTTTTAACAATCCGTCGTTCTGGCGTCGGTGATGCGCTGACTGTTCTGGCGCGCTCTGTGCCAGGATGACCTTGGGATTTTTTCGCGTTTACTGCCAAGCTGTATGCGATTAGGGGGCGATAAAATGTTGTTCGTGAGTGCGCAGAGAATGTGGTGAAGAAATGTTAGTAAACGCCTCTCCCCTGAAAGAGTCCTCCGCGTTTGCATTACATCCCTGTGACGTCTCGTCAAGTAAGATATACATATATGTATGTAGGTAATACCCGCCGTGGCGTGAATAGCTATTCCTAAAAAAAAAAATAAAAATGAGGGGACCCTTAAAGCTTTGCCTTGAGGAGTTGAACGCGATGTCGGACATCCTGATTCCTAGTGCGTGTTTCAAACACTCAGTGCATGAAACTTTTTCTTCGAATTTGGCATGCACCCACTATACGTAGCCTTAAGGGAATAGGCGCGGTATAGCGTGTGTGGTGCCTTTTGCTGTGGAAGTACCGGCTTCCAACAGTGGAGCCATTATGATAATCACATAATCTGACGCCCGTTGGCAATGGACGGACGCTTGTAGCACGCATTAATGTTTCGTGTTGTAGCGTGAAGCCATGTATACGTGACGCGTGTGTTTGTGAAACATGATACTTTCACTGCATTTTCAAGCAGAGGAAGTTCTCTTTACTGTTTTCACAAGCGGAGGCGTGGCCGTGTGGTAGAACATTCGCTTGTCGTGAAAATGACCCGGGTGCGATCCCCACTGGTACCCAAACAACCCTGGTTTGGTCCTCTCCATGCTCAAGGGTTTATTTATCATTCATTTACTTAAATTGCATCGTTTTCGATTTTTCGGTCACGCATAAGATGATGATTTTTCGCTCGCAACCAACGACGCCGATACCGTAATTTTTTGCGAAACGAGCTCTTTGATTCTGTTGCGTTAAAATCATTTAGGTATTTGTATATTAATTTATTTGATGCTCACAGCGCCCATACAGGCATTATAGCGGGGGCAGTGTACAGAAAAAGAACATGAAAATTGTGGGGTCACGTATGTAAAAAATAAAAAAGAAGTGGATTAGCAAGACACAAAACATACACCGCTGCATCGAGCACAGCTGCGTCAGAAAAGTCGTATGTATTAGAATGAAAATGCAGAAACCACAAAAATAATGTGAATATGATAATTAAAACGAAATGCCGCATTTGTCTAGCACAAGGGCAAATGAAACACGGAAACAAAACAACATAGCTTACAACCAAGATACCTTACAGATCACGGCGACTGCCAGGTGCACGCACGTATTCTATAGGGCTCAGTGGCCGAAAGGTTCAATCACTTTTATTGCAGAAAATAACGCATCCGTTGAAGAAATTTGTACAATTGTGGGAGGAAGTCGATTCTTCGTATTGTTCGTATTCTTGAAGCGAACATCACGTATAACGCGAAATTAGAAGCACGCATCGCTTATAAACGCATGTGCTGATGGAGAAAAGGAAATCAACAAAGAAAGAAAGATGCTTCTTCCGCTAAACACCAGGTCCGCGCGGCTCAGTCTATCTGCATGGAGTGCTATAGGGCAGAGAGAGAGAAAGAGAGAGAGAGAGAACATTTTATTAAGTACATTTAGCTCTTTCGTTACCGCGCCTATAGAACTTGGGTCACCGGTGACCCATAAGCGCCGCGCGAAAATTTAAAAATACCGGCGCTCCTATGGACTAGCTGCGCCATCCAGCGCATTTTCTAAGCACTAATCTTCCATTTCCTGTGTAGTTTGTTTTTTTTCCGCGCGGCGGCGATTTTTATCGCCGGTTCAAAGTGCGCAGTTCGCTTGTTTTGTTTACGAAGATGGCTGACGATCTGGCCGCCGGACCCTCGCGTGAACGACGTCTTTCTGGCAATTCTGTCGCATCTGCAATTGATTATTCTGCTGTTTCTAGCAGCAGTGACTCTGAGGATAATATCGGATCGTCGGATTTTAGTTCTGACGATGGAGATTCGCAAAACCTGCCCGGATCGTCGTCGTCGTCGTCGTCAGAGTTATGTTTCGTGTTTGAGATTTTTTCCCGAGTTCCTATTCAGCACAATTTTTTAAAATGCCCATGGTTCAACAGCTCATTTATCTATTTATTTAGTAACATTCATTGCATTGTTCTGTTTGAAAAATTTGTAGAGGAAAAAAAATATAATTGTGGCACTAGATGGAACAAGGCAGTTTCCACTAGGCAGAAAAAAAAATTTGTAACTCATATGATTTATGACCTAGGCAGCTCAAACTTTCTTCTTTTATAGACCATTGATTTGAAAGCATTTTGTATATTTCAGATTATTTTTCTTTTTTTCTGATTTTGTGTTATAAGCACCGAATTAGAAATGTTCTATGCAATTTTCAATAAATCTTGTTTTTCAAGAATATTATTACTTGTTACCCCCAAATATTTCTTTTTAAAAGTAATATCATTAGAAAGTACGTTTATTTAGCTTTCTATTGATATATAGCATGGCACTGTAACAATGATAATGTCTACTACAAAAAATAATTACAAAAACCTACAAAAAGTGGCACATTTTCCCACGGTAACGAAAGAGTTAAGCAAAGCATGTGGGAAGGAACCCTAGTCGGGGTTACCTATGACGATCTCGGCTACCAACCTGGCCCGTTGAACCAAAACCTGGCGGACCTCGGGAGGCCCGTCGTGGAGGACATCGTCCCACATGCCGATCTTTATTTTTTTTTTTCGAAGCACGGTTAATAATAAAGAAGAGGTGAAATGTCACGCTTGGCAGCTCTGGCTTTTTTTTTCTGCCTAGTTATAAATCACACGAAATGTATTGAAGCTACGTACCTAAATTTTGTTTCGCTAAATATATGCATGTTTTCGCTTGCGTTAATTTATTTTTCACTTCTCTGGGAGGTGCAAATATTTTTATAAAAAATGTCAAAAGTGACACAGAAGACGCTTTTTTTTTCCTATAATTTGGAGGTCCTTTTCTTTAGTAGAGCCTATGACAGAGCGGCCAAAATTTCGCGTTATTCATAAACGTGCCATAGCATATACTGAAAACAATTTCAGTAAATAGATACAGTCGCGCTAACTTCGAGATAACAGTACAATGGAAATCCTGACCATGATTAAAACAAACATTTTTAAAATTTCCTAAACGTTGCCCCACTTATTCTCTTGCACATCGGCTTCCACAATCGATTAAAAAAGAACACTCTACAGCGATATCTAAGGCGGTCCATGAGTGTTGAAGGAAATATATTGAATTGCTGTTAACTTTTTTTTTAAATGTGGAAAAAACATGGATGCCTCTATACAGCAGCACCGCCGAACAAGCGCAGTCAAGGTTCAACTTTCACGTGACGCCGTGTGTGTTTGCGGTGCGGGCGCCGAACGCAGCTGGGGATGCCTGGGGATAGGCGGGGATACCTGGGGATAGGCGGGGATACCTGGGGATAGGCGGTGATACCTGGGGAGTACAGGAGGAATGTTACGTACCGTGGCCGTCGCCTTGGAAGTACAGCTGCCGCCGCGAGGGAGAGCGGTCCTTTTCGTCTCTCTCTCTCTCTCTTTATCATTTTTTTTTGTGCAGGCGTGCTTTGCGCCTTATCTCGTCATCCCCATCCTTTGTCCTTGCCTGCATATCGGAGGAGCGCTGTATGTGAGTGCGTAGTCGGAGAGATTGACGGCCACTTGTCATCTTCTCCCTTGAGATAGTGGCGCGTCCTCCGTTATCTATACAGGGGCGCGTTTCTAATACCCCATGGTAATCGCGACGATTAAAGGCGATTGCAGAGGCGTTGCGTTACGATCGCAGTGCAACTCCGCTGCGGTTATCGCGGCCACGGAGTGGCGGGTCGTCACCGCGTCGCGCCGTTTGCGCTGGCACTTTTGAACTGGAAAGCGGAGCAGAGAGGGGCTCGTTCGCTGCCAATCGAGTTCTAGTGTGTAGTGTCGCTGAGCGAAAGGCACGAAGTACAGAGAGAGAAGGACAGGTACGATCAACACTATAGTATTGCTCAATACTTTACTATGGTATTGAGGATGCTTGTATTGCTCTCTTTGTAGGAACTGGACTACCCTCGCTCATCGCAGCTGCGCTAGAGTGTCGTACCAACCAAGATTTAGAGCTTTGTTGAGCCAAATGAAGTGTGTGTGTGTGTGTGTGTGTGTGTGTGTGTGTGTGTGTGTGTGTGTGTGTGTGTGTGTGTGTGTGTGTGTGTGTGTGTGTGTGTGTGTGTGTGTGTGTGTGTGAAGAAATTACACGATATCCCGCTAAAGGGCACCATGTGTTGATGCGAAGCGGCTTGCGCCAACACTTACACTGGCGGTGGCGTTGACGCTCAGCGCGGCGTTGCGCAGGACACAAAACCTGGGGAGGCGCAAAACACGAAGTGATGAACCGCTGTTTCCTACTGGAACGTGCCAATCGCGGCTAATCGGCAATGAGAGACGGAGGACTCCGATGGGACACAGAGACTCGCAGTCCACTTTTAGCTAACGCGCATGTTGCGATTTTTTTTTTTTTTTGTCCAAGAACGCACAGGAGAAAATTTCCCACCGGCACTGTACCTTGGAGGTCAAGATCCAATGCCTATATATACGGGGTGGCCAGAAAGAGAGAGAGAGAGGGAGAGGGAGAGACGTCTTTATTCACGAAAGCATGGAGAAGGAGGGCGTGGGAGGAACCCCTAGTCCGAGGTCCCTAGGACGACTCCAGCGACGAGCCGGGCCCGCTGTATCAGAGCTCGGTGGACCTCGGGAGGTCCATCGCGGAGAGCATAATCCCACAGCTCCTCGTTACGTAAAGGGTGAACGAAAGCAGGTAAGGGAGGAAAGATGTTCGCAGTGCACTCGATCGAGACATGGAAGGTGAACGGTTGTGCAGTGCGTGCAGTCAGTTT